GTAGCGGAATCGATCGACCGGCTGATTTATTTTCAACCACAGATATAATGTGAATACGTCACCTATTATCTTAATACGTACGCGAACATTATAAATAGCTTCGTTGCATTATTGAATCACACCGTGATTGCGTTTAAGTCAATTGTTACTACGAAGGCGTTGTGGTTAAAGTACAGAACGTTTCACTTTGGACTGGCTAGTTACGATAAAAAATAAGTTTATTAATCAAAAACGTAAGTTAATTGAATTTTTTGCATTGTATAAAAATAAAAGTTTCAATTTAACATACCCGAAAAAAGCTACCTATGTCATGTGAACTTTCCTATTTCATTCTAGCTTTAGATATACATGTACGCGGGCATAAGTTTAATAATTTGTATTCTACTTTAGTTTCTGTTTAATTAAGACTTTCTATAATCCTTTAAATTCTCATTTCGTTGCCCCCATTCATTTAAGCGAGCTTTTCGCAGCTTATTTCCGAGTTTACAGACAAACTATAAAAATAACGTCAGCTGACAGTGACGCCATTACATTAGGCACTGTTAATGGCAAGGGATAGGTTAAAAAATAATTTCAATCCCCAGCTCATCGGTGAAGTCAAAGGCACTTCAGCTTTCTTTTCGCGTCACTCTACCAAATGCTCGTCTTCTAAAGTCAATCAATCAATCAATATCAGTCGTACTAACTGATGCACCAATCCATAAGTTTCATGTGTGTTTATATCCTAAATGCAAAAACTTTCTTTGAAAATGCAATTTATTGCTTGTAACTAGTAACATAGTGCCCTTTTCTAATTTTTGTTCTCCTTCCGTTTCTAAGGAAATAAAATCGTTTTAAATCTAACTAAAAGTTACGCCCCTCGTTCCTAGAGTAACCTCTGTTATAGTTTAACGCCTGTATCGTATTGATTTCGAGTAGATCTTAAGTTTTGTGCTTCTGTCGTCCTGTCGAACGTGTGCTGTAGTCCTGCACTCCCCTTACTCCACTTGCAATAAAAAAAGAACACCGGAACACCCGAGAGTACCAAAGCATGCCAGATGACCTGAGGATATACTAGAGAATACCAGAGATTGCGAATTTGATTAGGATCTTCATTAATATCTTTCTCCATTATTAAAAATCTTGCAAAAACTCCTACCTCAAGGATGCGCATGCACAAAGCCTATACTGTTGTGTAAACAACGTCATGTAGACGTGCTTTCGGTCTAAACTCCAAAAATAATGACTGGACACACTGTATGTGACAATAATTAACTTATTAAGTGTAAATCGGGGGATATTATTTACGAATAAGTTGGTTTATTTTACTTGAATATGTGTCTCAGTGTCTATTTTTCTTTTTAGTATTGTTTGTGATTGAGTGTCATTTTCTTGATTAAATTTTATCGCTATCGTAATCACTCAATTTAGTTAACATGATGTAGGCACATCTGGTCGTTTGTGATAAGAAGTTTTGTCCTGATTTCGAGTAGGTGGATGCCAAAACCGGAAGAAGCGATGAAACTAATAAGGTCAATAGTGTAGAAGATATGAGCCAAGAAAAACAGAAGGATTTGTAGTTTACTGATAATGGGGATGAACCAATGGTACGTATAGAAGAGAAACCGAAGTAGAAGATGAGACGTTGAAGATAAAGATATTGAAGTTAAAGAAGAAGCAGTCGAGCCTATACAAGACGACGTTGAAGTACAAGTTGAAGAAGTTGTCAAAGCTCAAGTTAAGCAGCTAGAGATTGCAATACAGAAAGAAGAAGTAAAAAGAGAAATCGAGATTAAAGAAGTTATCTGTTTATAGGCAAGAAGAAGTCGAAATTTATAAAGGAGGAGAGATTCGAATTGAAGTACACGAAATATAAGATAAAGGGGTTTTAGTAGAGAAAAAGGTTGAGTTATTTAGTTGTTTTATTGCAATAATTTTAAGGGGTCCGGGGGTTGAAGTTAAGATTGCATTTTTTGAATTATAGAAAATTTGTAATTCTAGATGATTCTCGGGATTTGACAAGTAATTTTGTAAATTGCAGAATGTATCGTTGCAGTTTGATCTTACAAGATTACTACTTTGAAATCAAGTACCTAAAGGGTCAAAATAATTTAATAGCGAATGATTTATCGAGGAAAGAAATATGGGGAAAGGAGTTGGTAAAAGATTATGAAATTTTAGGTAGCCGAATGAAGAAGAATTTTGATTGCAAAAGAGATTTAGGAGTACAAGCAATGATAAACATTTGTGTAGTTTAAGAAAGGATTATAATTTTGGCAATCAGAATGAAATTATATCTGTTAGGACTAGTGAGCCTCTACAAATTGCAACAATTAATTATTTAAGTGATTTAGTTAAAGATAGATAGATAGTAAACTACTTAACGTTTAGGATTTTTCCAGAAAGACCCCGAGTAAAGCTAGATAAAGAGGTAGAAAGATTAAAACAGGAATAGAAAGAGGTTAGGAAAAAGATTACGGATTATAGGGTTTTATCTTGGCAGTAGACTAGGGAGTTGATTTTAGATCATCGTGTCCGGACGTTGAAAGTAGATCTTGGCCTATTTAAGGGAGATCAGTTGGTAAATTGTTCAAAAATTTATAATTCCAATGTTTTTAGTTTTTCTTTAAAGGGAGGTGGATGTAATTTTGATTTTGTGTTCAATTTAAGAGGGGAAATGTGTAAACAACGTGATGTAGACGTTCTTTTGGTTTAAATATCAAATTAATGACGGGACACCCTGTATGTGACAATATTTTAATTTATTAAATGTAAATCGGAGGGATTATTTACGAATAACCACAAAGTTGGTTCAGTTCACTTGGATTTGTTGTGTCTCAGGGTCTATTTCTCCTTTTATAATTATTTGATTGCATGCTATTTTCATGTTTTATCGCTATTTTAATGCATTCAATTTGGTTAAGATGCTTTAATGTAGGCCCATCTGGTCGTTCGCGATAAGAAGTTTTGTTACCGGACGAGATTTAATTAGCGCTTATCGATGTTAGAAGAGGTAAGGTGTTTCGAATAATTGTGCGATATTTTCGGCGCAAATAGGCACGCGCGATTCATTTTGTCGAAGCTGGCGTTTATCAAGTCAAATTTTGATTGGCGGTGTTATTAAAGGTTTTTTGAGGAGAGAATTTATTGTATTATGGAAGTGGTGTTATTTTAAGTATTGGAATCCACTAAAAAACGAGTTTAGCTGTTTCGCGACTGTTGGAAAGCGTGTACGTTTCTTTACGCCCTTTATTTCATTCGGGTTTACCGCCCGATTCGATTAATTGAATATCTCGTTGAATATGTAATGCCATTGTTATAATAATTTTTGTAGAAGCAAGATAAGTAAAGTTGTTGAAAAGTTTAAGGCGGTTTGTGTGTTTTATGGAAAAAGGTTGTCAAGTTTGAAAGAGCAAGTGAGACCTTTCTGTTAACGTTCTCTTGTTATTAAAAGTTAATAGTTTGTACGGTCTGAACAGCCTTTGGCATCGGATTTGTGTGTTAAAGAAAAATAAAGTTAAGAATCTGTACGACTAGATTATTAGAATGATTAAAGGAGACAGTAATTTTAAAATTTTCTTATTTTATTTGTCGAGCGCCTGCGTGTGGAGTAATTTGTTTTAGGAATTTTGTTTAAATTTTTCATTTCATGTGTTTCAAAATAAATGTTTGTCATTGTCAATCAATTGATAGTGCATTTGTTCGAATCCCTTGTGCGATTCGGATAGAGTTTTCATATCAGATTTTTCTCCTCGTGTCCAAGAATTGTGTCAGGTGTTACTGAAAATTTGGGTAATTGTGGAATTTTCGCAAATTGATCAAATCTCCGAAATCATTAATTTAGGCCAACATTGGGATTTTTCTTTGTATCAGATGGCGGAAGTATACGAGGGAAAATTATGAAGTTTAAGTTTCAATTTTGATTGTTTTGGGCTAGCTGGACAGGCGTTTTGTGGGTGATGTAGTTGACCGATCGCCATTGCACACAGCAACACCTACAACATATTTTATTTGTGTATGAAATGGGCTTTCCTATTTCATACGAAGGGTTGAACCTCCTTGCTTTGAGAAAAATAGATCTTGTAAATTTGATTTTCTGAATTGCTTGTTCGAGATAAACTTTTTCATATATTCATTCAAAAAAATAAAAAAAAAGTTGCAATGCCAAAGTACATTGCCATATTAACAAACTTTCTAATCTTGATATGCTCTCTAAATGCTCTTTGCCGGATACATATTGGTGCGTTGTCATTGCAATGACATTTTTTGAATGTATTTTAATATATGTATTAGTTTGTTGTGTTGAGCGAGCATAAATCTTTTAATCATGGGTTTTCTATACTTCCAAACATTTTCTATGTTAGCAAAATAGGTACATAGATCATGAAACTTTTTCTTGTTTTTCTTTAACTACCTCCTTTGTTACACGACAGTTTAATTCATGTTACGGAAATTGCACATTTTACAGCGAATATCTTAGACAATATTTTTCCTCTTAGATAAAAATTACGACACCCTCAGTTAATTCGTCTGAAGGACTAATAGATTTGAATGTCACATTTGCGTAACTGGGATGTGAACCCCCAAAAAAGCATTTCCTCCAAATATATCGCTATCTGGCACCCGTTTCCTTCAGCAACTGCACCCAAAATTGGCCTTCTTTCATTAGTCCTTTTGTTATCAACTACAAGTCACAGAAGAAAAGAACTAACGGCTTTATCTAGATTTTCCATTTCATTTAAATGCGTGCTTCCTCGCACATTTTGTGAAAATGTTTGTAAAATTTATATTTCAAGGTGGCGGATTGACAACATAAGAGTCTTAAGTTCACTGCTAGCATACATATAAGATATACACCGGATTGGCTGTATATTTCAATTTAAAATTTATATTCTTGTCCCCTAAACATCCATATTCAGGTCTAAAGCGTATATTTAAAGAAAATATAACCTTTCAAGATATATGTGCGTGTGTACCACTATACCCACTATATATTATAAAAAGAAATGAAATATACTTACTGGCTTTAATACTCGAACGATAAAATACGTTTTTAATCCGGCTATCCTTAAACTTTCTTCCCTTTTTTCCCCATACGCTGGTTCGACTTCAAATTCTCCATTCAGGAACGAATAAGTTGTCGCCGATATATGTACTCTCCTGAACGAATACGAATAAGCAATTTTGATAAGCTTGCACATAGATTTTTACGTGCATTAACATACCAGCCACGTTCTATACTACTTGACCCTTTAAAGCAAATTTACCGTCTCGTGTCGATGTTTTTAATCGTGTCTTTTAATTACAGCATGCATTTAAATGAAAACTCATTTATTTTACCCGGCCATTCCACTGCTTTCCATTTTGTTTGCTAATTCGACATCTTTCGAATACACGTCAAATTGCCATTGTCTCTGACCTAAAACTCCCGCCAGCACTGCACCTGTGTGAATTCCCACTCGCATGTCTACTGGTGAATTTGTTTTTTGTTGAACGTATCTGAAACAATGAAAACTGTATCAATGCGTGTCGATTAATATACAAATTGTAATTCTGGATTCAATTTGTTGTAGGTACCTACCCCTAATCCACTCGCATAATTTTTGTATTCGAAGCACGTTCCCTAATTCTAAGGAGGTAGGCGCAAAAACCTAAGGATCATCTTTTTAGCATATTACAATCTACCCCACTTTGTTTCTGCACGGCTAGTAGATTTTTAAAACTAAAATGATCCCAATTTTTATCTGGGGGTGTTGCAATGTTGCCTAAGCTGCATTGCTATAAACACTTACACATAACGGTAGAAACGAGTTAATTCATAACTAGATAATTGCCCCATCCTCACTGCAATTAGAAAAGGGGCGTCGATAATTATTTAGGATATTATCGTCGCGAAAGGAGGCAATTAACTCATTTTGACAAAAACGCTTTTAAATTGCCTTCCGTTTACATATTTCATCCGCCTTATAAATTATGCAGTGAACTATTTCCGAAGCGTTCATAGTAGTCGGTCTGACCGTATAAAACAGACTAGCACACCGGATGACAGAAAATCGATGCTGAACGAACGAACTGCTGAAAATCATTTGCAGACAATTTAATTTTCCGACGATTACGAAATAGCCCGCATTCGGGTCTAGTAGAAAAGTCGGTGAATAGGAACAAAAGAAGTTTATTTTCTTGAAAGAGAATTGGAAGTTTCCTCGCTTTTAATCATAATTATTGGGTTACTTACTAAACGATTAAAATTTCATGTAAGAGACAAATTCATCCATCATCTTCAGCTAATTATGTTATTAATATTACGAGTATGTTAATACTATTAACGACTAAAAGATCTCAAGATATTCGCATGCTTTCCCCAATCCTCCTTAAATTACTTTTACGCCCATTTCTCAAT